GTGATGTGGGGTGTGGAGGACGTGGACTGGGAGGTGAGTGACGTGGGGTGTGGAGGACGCGGGCTGGGAGGTGAGTGATGTGGAGGTGCAGGGCATGTGGGCTGGGAGGTGGGTGACGTGGGATGTGGAGGACGTGGGCTGGGAGGTGAGTGATGTGGGGTGTGGAGGACGTGGGCTGGGAGGTGGGCGGATAGTGCTGTGGGGGTGCTGGGGGACGTGGACTGGGAGGTGGGTGACGTGGGGTGTGGAGGACGTGGGCTGGGAGGTGAGTGACGTGGGGTGTGGAGGATGTGGACTGGGAGGTGGGTGATATGGGGTGTGGAGGACGCGGGCTGGGAGGTGAGTGAGACCTTGCCTCTCAGCAGTCGGAGTCCCCATCGTACTTCAGCAGAGTTGTAAATGCCCACAGAGCAGGGTCACCGCAGGCGACTTGGGAGGAGTTAGATTAGCAGACGCTAAGACTGCAGGCCCACCGCCTGCCTGGACCTGAGAGGCAGTCGCCATCAGAGAATCTGGGGCAGAACTAAGACTATCTGTGAAAGACAGGATTATTTGTCTGGAAACCCCAAGCATGCACCTACAGTGATCAAAAAATACAAGAGGACCTATTAGCTGATTACAAATCAGTAATAAAGAATTGGTAGCTTTTCTCTGAAATAATTAAAAACGACTTTGAAAATTGGAATGGAAATCTAAACTATCTCCAAATGTAATAAAAACGAAAGACTTAAATACAACAACTTTCCTGCTGGAATAGCTCAACATAGTATCAGGTCTTTCTACTTTAATCTGCAAACTTAAAATAATCCCATCAGAGAGGTCATTACAGTTTTGTTATTATTATTTTAGTTTTTGCTATAGGGTGTGTGACAGAGACAGACAGAGGGAAAGTGAGAAATCACACCCCAGGAAGATGGCTATGCTGCAGTCCCTTCTCTGGGAATTTTGGGCATGCCTGCACACATGCCCGGTGTGATTTTCCAGCATCCAGAGCTGTGACTTGAACTGCAGAGTTGACTATGTGAGACCCAGCACCTTAACCTACACACCACTCAGTGACCCAGGTGATTACTTTTTGTTCTAGATAGAGATTCTCGCTATATAGCACGTGTGCTCGGTAGAGACACACAGAGAGACAGGAAGACAGAAAGCGAGAAATCACCCCCTTGGGGGGATGGCCATGTCACATCCCTTCTACTCCATCTTCCTCGGGATTTTGGGCATGCACCCGAAGTGAGTTTCAAGCCTCTGGGTCCAGGACTTGAACAACGGTCAGCCATGTGGAAATCCAGTGATGTAACCATTAGGCCATCTGCTGGTCCCATCAGATTATTTTATTTTTTAACTAGAAAAGCAGGGCTCTTATGGTAAATGTAAGAACAACCAAAACATTTCTGAACAAAGGGACAATTAAGAAAAGGGCATTGATTATCCAAGATATTAAAACGTATTATAAAACTACAACAGTTTTTAGGGGACCAACAGTTTGGGGGGACCAGCAGATGGCCTAATGCTTATGTCATTGGACTCTCATTATTTGATAGCAGTTTGAGTCCAGGATCCAGTGACTTAAAACTCATGCTGGGCATGAGTGTGTGCATGCCCAAGGTCTCAAGAAGAGAATGGAGGAGAAGGGATTGCAGCGTGGTCGACCCCCGAGGGGCGATTTCTTGCTTTTTGTCTTGCTGGCTATCTCTGTCTCTCTGGTAAGTGCACACACCTTATAGCTTAAATATCTTCCCCCCCAAAAAAGAAAAATGGACAGTTTGGTACAGGAAAAAAAAGAGCCTAGAAAGAGACTGGCCGCGGGACCAGCAAACGGGGTAGTGGTTATGTCACTGGACTCCCACATAGTCGACTGCAGTGCAAGTGTTGGACCTGGCCCCTTCAAACTTACACCAGGCACTGTGTGTGTGCCCAAAGTCCTGAGAGGAGACTGGAGGAGAAGGGGTTGTGGTGTGGCCAGCCCCCTGGGGTGTGTGGGAGGGGGATTTCTTGCTTTTTGTCTTTCTGTCCAGCACATGCATTCTATAGCAAGAATATCTCTAAAAAAAGAAAATGGGCGGGCACATGTGAGGATCTGGTTTGTCGGAAAAGAAGGCAGTTACAATGTATCTCTAAAAAAAGAAAATGGGCGGGCACATATGAGAATCTGGTTTGTAGGAAAAGAAGGCACTTACAATTAGCTATTGGGTTGTCCGAAAAGTCATGTTGCATTTTTGCATGGAAAAACAGAAAAATATGTCATGACTCTTCTGACAGCCTAGTGGTGCCGGGCCCGGCACAGGCAGGGGTGCTGCTGTGCGGTACTGGGCGACGTGGAGGCCCAGGCTCAGAGCGGGGGCCCCCCCCCCAGCCGCTCCACCTGTGATCCTGGCCGGCCAGAGGCGAGGGAAGGACTGCAGCACGGTGAGATCGCGTCCGAGGCACCTGTCCCTCTTTTCTCTCATGAAATGAATAAATAAATAAACTTTGAAAGATTAGTTAGGAGACGAGAGCTGTTCAGTCAGTCATGTTAGAACGCCTGGCTCACAAGGCATAACCTCTGCCCTACTCCACTGCAAGCAAACTCCAACTGGGTCGCAGGTCAGAACCGAATAAACCATCACGGGGCTCGGATGAAACATGTGTTTGTAAGAAGAATAATTTTGACGGGAGGAGACCTTGTTAAGTAAGACACAGCATTTAAAAGTCATGGAAGGGGGAACCAGCAGTTAGCGTAATGGCTATGTCGCTGGACTCCCACGTAGTCGACTGTGGTTCGCTTCCCGGACCCGGTGGCTTAAAACTCACGCCGGGAGCGTGTGCGTGCGTCCCCAAGATCCCGAGAGGAGAATGGAGGAGAAGGGATTGCGGCGTGACCATCCCCTCTGGGGGGTGATTTCTCGCTTTATGTCTCTATGTCTCTCTCTGTCTGTCTGGCAAGCACACACGCCCTATAGCAAAAACCTCTCAAAAAAAAAAATAGTCATGGAAGGAAAGACTGGTCTAGTTGATGAACGCTATAGAAAAATGAAACCATAACCCACTGTATGGCAGAAAATAAAACGCTTGCTGTGAGATCAAGCACAGACGAGCGGGGAAAGTATAACACTTACAACGTATGAACACATGTCAAAGGATACATTTTTTTAAAGTTCATTTACCTATTTCTTCCATGAAAGAGGGAGAGAGAGGAGAGACCACCAGCAACAGGTCCTCATGCCGGCCCTCCCCAGCCTCCTCCAGCCAGGTCGTGGCATGCACACACCTGCCTGGCGTGTACCTGGAGATACACGAGGTTGTGAATCTTGGCCCTTCCCACGTGGGTCTGGTATGACAAAGCCTGTGCCACTGGCTGGTCCCAAGTGACAAATCCTTTAGCATGAATATAGCCTTAAAAATCAGTGAGAAAACACCATGACCCTCATGGAAAGAGCAATGTGCAAAAACAAAGCTACACAACAACAGCAGCAAAACAAGTGGTGTGCATTGCTTGAAAAAGAGACTCGGCCTCCTATACTAACACGTGCCGATAACAGCTGTTTCTCAGCTGTGCCAGGCCGAGACCCAGGAGTTCCTGAATACACGGCTTCTGCTTATTAGAGTCGAAGGCCCAGATGGTACGACGCAGGCGGGTCATACGGTTTTGTTGAAATGGAAACTAATGTTGCCTTTTATAAAGGGAAGATTTATCAAAGTTGAAAATCTATTTAATCGTGTTTAGAATTTTTTTTTTTAGGTTTTTGCCATAGGGCATGTGCACTCACCAGAGAGAGGCAGAGAGAGGGAGTGTGAGAAATCACCGCCTATGGGGGTTGACCACACTGCAACCCCTTCTCTTCCATTCTCTTGGGACTTTGGGAATCCACACACACATTCCTGGCATTTTTCAAGGCACTGGATCTGGGACTCGAACTGCGGTCAAACATATGGAAGTCCAGCACCTTAATTACCATGCCACCTGCTGGCCCTTCAACATCATTTTTAACAAAAGCATGGAAGTAACCCAACCATTCATCCTTGGGAATGGGATAAATGAATGATAGTGTGTTTTGTGATGAAATATGGCATAGCAATTTATAGAATGCTGGAAACACTTTAAGACCATCTGTTAATATCTGTGCTTTGTGGAACAGCCGCTGCCATAAGGATTCAGGTGAAAACCGTGTGCATAGAGTACGTGCACACGTGCCAGTTATTCACGCACAGAAACACCTCGGAATCCAGAAGAAACCCTTAAGGCAGCTGCCTCAGTCTGACATAGAAGACTTGCTTTTTTTTTTTTTTATCAAATACCTTTTGTACTGTTTGACTTTTTTTTTTTAACTAGGTATATAACCTACATTTTAAATAATAAATGAAGAGCAGTTAGCTAGTAGCAGTTAACAAACTTGGCCAAGCATTCACTTTAGCAGTAATGAAAGGAATGCATATATCATATATATTTTCAAATTACTCTATTTAACTTCATTTATTTATTTCATTTTAAATTGACCAGAGAGGGACAGAGTGAGAGAGAGAAGGAAAGTGAGAAAGGAAGCTGCCGGGTCTGGGACTCGAACCGCGGTCAGCTATGTATGATTCCTGTGCCCTTAACCACCACACCACCTGCCGGTCCCATATATCATATTTTTTTAAAAGATATGTTCTTTTGTCTCAAATAAGCAAAAAAGAGAAAAAGGAAAAATAAAAAGACAAGACAAAACAAAACAGAAAATGAAGTGTTGCTGAAAATGAAAACAGTGCTAGAGAGGGTAAATGTCCCTCCACGAGCTCTCCCTCCTCCCGTCTTCGCTGACGCAGTGTCAGCTGATCCGCCTTGAGAAAATAATCGCAATGTGTAGCACGTGCTTTAAGAAGGTTCTTAATCTTTGACCCAGTAATTTGATTTTGGAAAATTGTCCTGAGCAAGGAATATTTTTAAAGAAAAAGCATGTCTGGTATAGTCAGAGCAGAGCAGCCCACATTACGTAACCCAGGGCATGCTCTTCACATCCCTGACGTGCCAGCCCTCACACAAGGGAACTTCAGAAAGTTTTGAAAAATGGAACCAAAGTACGAGTTTGTTTTGGTGCTAATTTTTTTTGAAATCCATGCATACTTTTTCATAATGTATTCTTTTTGAAGATCCCTCCTGTTAATCTGATTCTATAAAAGCCACCAGCAGCCTAAATGCCCACTGGGGAGGTGTTGGTTATGCTCAATATAGAGCATGCAGTGGAATAGTACACAGTCCAGAATAGGATGTTTTCTGGAGAGAAAAGAACATTGGCAAAGCTTGTGCAATATTGTTAGGCCAACCCCAATTGTGAATGACGTGACCCGTGCAGAGGAAAACCTTAGGAGTGCTCAGTGAGTCGGTGCTTCTTCCACGGCAGGCCGTGGAGTACAACATCTTTGAAGGCATGGAGTGCCACGGCTCCCCGCTGGTGGTCATCAGCCAGGGCAAGATCGTCTTCGAGGATGGAAACATCAACGTCAACAAGGGCATGGGCCGCTTCATCCCGCGGAAGCCTTTCCCCGAATACCTGTACCAACGTGTCAGGATCAGGAATAAGGTGAGTGAGCCGTAGGGCTCTGCCGTGTGTAGGTTTAGCAAGTGCCACGCACGGCAGGCGC